GCTTAATACGGGCGTTTTGAAGCGAGTATAGGTGTAAACTTATACCTAGTATCGAGCTCATATGAGAAAAAATATGGTTCATCCTGGAACGGTTGATCTCCCAGATCAGACGATCGGTTATTCCATACCCTCCTTCCAAATACCGTAGTTTGACGTTGGAAACCCAGATGCCGTCCTGTCCCTTGTCGTATCGCATGCAGCATACGACTCAGCAGCGTCAGTGAGTACATCTGATATAAACAGGTCGACAAATTTCACCTGATGGTTGCGCCGTCCTACTTTAGAATTCGGAGTCGTCCTTGAACGAGTATAGGTATCGACTCACCCGGCCGTTGCCGAGGGGGGTGTAGAATTATGAAAAACTGGGAGAAAGGATACCCCCTTTCTTTTCGAAGCTTTCGTCCAATTTTAGCGTTATAAATCCGTTGCTATAACTGCTCCGTTAGTTTTTAGCCTTGACCCCCAGTTGTATGGAAGGGTGGCTGGGGAGCTTTTTGACCCCCCCCCCCCCCCCCCCGCCGCATCTTAAAGTATCTGTACTAGCAGCCGTGACCAGATCTCCAGTCTATCATTTGTCATCTACCCAAAATATTTCAATCATGCATGACGACCACTGTGTCTAGCCAGTCTATCTTGAAACAGGGTTTACGAAAGCGAGTTAGAGGCCTCTCGCGGCGGCATCTAGTGTCGCCTCGTCAGATTAGGTAGCACTAGTTGAATACAGTATGATGGATTCAGCTCAGCGAGAGCAAATCGACAGTTGCAGGGTAATGCGTATACCAAGAAGGATCTCCACGAAAGGAAGAAGGAGGTAATGCTCGCACTCCATTCCACAGGCAATTCTGTAGAAAATGATATCTATGCCGTCATCTCATCGGGCTATACCTGTATATAGAGAGCATGCAGTATTAGTATACGTGCCCAACGGTTCTGATGCTAGACGGGAAAGGAAACTGTATAGGCTGGGGTGGGTGTGTCATCCGACGTCAGTCTGCAAAGTTCGATCGCTTCTCAGCCTTCCAATACACAGTCAATGCTTCTTGTAGTATTCCCGTGCAGTAAGCTCATATGGACAAGGCTATACGATTACATATAGCACTACCCTGTTATATGTGGCCACCCTCTTGATACTACTACTACTTCCAGACGTGTGCTTACCTGGTTGCTAATGCGGAAAGTAGTAACGCCGAGGCTCCATTGACGGGAGAAGCTGCTTGAACTTTTCATGGTCAACACGTATGAGGGCTTGGAACGGGTGTGGATGGGGGCAAAAAAGGAGAGCTGATATTAGAGGAGGTGTAACGAAGATGGACATGAGCGGGAGGTACTCCATACGCGTAACTGATCCCACGCCAATGTCCCGAGAGCTGCATTTGCCGGCAGCATAATGATAGATACTGTAGCTACAGTATATACTGTACCTAGACAATGCACTCCGTGACGCGTTCGATAGGCCCGTTAGGATATGGTAACCCACATATGCGTACATGTTATTGGTATGTAACCGACACACCATGCTCTTCACCTTGCATGCGGTAGGATCTGTACGGATATGCTGTTCGGAGGGTTATTCCAGCTTTGGAAACGGCCCATTGTTCTGATCAAGCTCGTGCGGCGCGCTACCTGATGCCCAGATTACCAGTCACACCACACCACACGGCTTACAGTACAGATGGCCATGAAATGACTGATTTGTGAGATTGTCCGCCCGCTGTTGCGGCATAGCCAGCATTGCAACCACTAAGGCTGCAGTGCGAACCTCTGTCTGCCTTGCTTGCACCGCTGGTTGATGGCAGCTGTGGATAAACGATTGCGGTGATCAAAGGGGCAGGGACGGGGATGGGACCTGTCCTTCGCTTAGACAAGAAACATGCCGAATACAGATGAACCAGCGCGAGGTCCATAAGTACTGAGAGGTGCTATTATTATTCTAGCGGATCCTCGCTTGCTAATGAGCGGCCGGGCAGCTTGACGGCCGATCTCAAAGGTGTCGCCCTGCGGCGGTCTGGTATAGCCCCGAGTAGTCGCCATATCAGTGTTGGATCCAAGCGTCGCACTTTTCCCCCTTCTCATTCTGATCTGAAGTACCAATCAGCCAAGTTTCGCCGGCCCATGCCATTACCACAAGAGAAGAGGACTGTGAGAACCAATGGCAACAGGAAAAGAACAGAGACCACGGCACTGGATGTGACTGTTCGTGGGACGTGCATGTACGAGGGCGAGATCATGGCTTGGAGCGGCTCATGCACCGCCTGGATAGACTAACGCATGCTAATTTCGTTGACTCGTAAACCGGCTCGCGATGGAGAAGCGTCGTGTCGGGCGTTGAGATTCGGCGCATGTGCGTGTGATCGAAAGAAAAAAAAAAAAACATCTGAAAAGTGGTCCTTGGGTGGGACGCCGTTTGATCGATCCATCAACAAGTAAGGAAGACAAAATCGACGCTATGGCTGACGATGCCTTAGTCAAAAGTGGACTGTTGGTACAAGTAGCTTGGCGTCTTTTGCGCCTGGAGCAGGAAGAAGATTCGATTCTGCCAGCCTGGGAGCTAGAAGCACACGCCACGTGCGATTCCGACACCTGTGGGGTGTTCCATTCGCCCATGGAATGAACGACTTTACCCGGACACGCAAGGGTCCCTGCTAACACAAGGCCAAATTTAAACCTCGCTCTGCCCTGAATTGACCAGATTGCTGCTTGGACACGGTGGAAGATGCCGCAGCTGAGGCATCAGCTCCGTCTGCGAGGAGAAAAGCTCCTGTTCCAGACCGACCAAGTAATATATTAAACCCCGCTTTGGTCCGTCTCATGACGCCGAAATTAGTCTTGTGCCTGTGTTGCAACGTGCTTGGATGGAGTGGGCGATTCTGAGTTGCAGGTCGTGGTCAAGCCGTTTTGCCTCGAAGCAGTGGACAAGATTGAAAAAGGGCCTCTTTCCCTTGGCCCAGAATGAGTATAGAGAGCAAACAGCCTTCAAGCCGCTGGAATTGGGTCCAATTGATGTTTCAGATGGAAGCCGGAAGAGCATCTTTCTCCTGTCGTCTCTCACGATAGCCACTTCAATGGCTGGTGACACAGCCGTGTATACGATTCGGCTTGCTGCGGCAAACAAAGATTGAGCTATGCTTGAAAGCATTTAAATTTCCGGGTAATGGCGCCACAAGGGCCAGAGGTGGGCGAATATGAATATGATTGTGAGGCATCCGCGATTTGATTTCACTAGCCATCTATGCTGTGGCCAGGCTTTCTTCTTCACCACTGCAGATAGCCAGACAACAAGACTCAGCGGCTCACTGATTATGCACGCAAGCTTCCTTGCCCAGCATACCTACTGCACATCATATATGGGCAAAGCAAACGAATGGTTGAGCATAGGGTAAAGTGGCCAAGATCGAGGAGTCGAGAAGCAGTCGCTGGGGCAAGATCGAAGCTAGTGCACAAGCATGCTACTCTATACTGCAGCCTTTCCGTAAAGAGCGAGAGCTGGCACTGTGACCGGGATTCTGCTGCTCCTTCGTGTGCCTGAGAGAAGCTCAGCGGCCATCAGGTTCCCGAACGAGCTGGATATACTTGTAGCTCACGAAATCGATGCTAGCTGATATCCATGACACCTACAGAGTCGGATTGGGACATTCGGGAGCTGGCTGGATAGCCACGTCAAAAGAGGGGCGATGTCGGCGTTTCATTTTCTCATCTATAATGCCATCTGTCTTTTGCAAACCGATATCATCAACTGGATGTCACCTGGCCCCATTCGCTCTGTAACTTCTCTGCAGTCTCTTAGAAAAGTGCAAGCAGAGGAGAGCAAACAGGCCGTTGACAGAAACTTATCAAGCTGTGAGGATACCTCGAGATGAAAAAGTAGGCCGAGGTCTTGGACCCAAACTGAAATTGCAGCTGCTGTCTAGGTTTTGAAAGGGTGACATCGGCTGCGTGCAGGTCTTGGTCGTACGGCACAACTGCACAGGTGTTACGAACAAGCCACAACGTGGTTGATAAGTTGGAGAGGCTGACAATAGCGTGGCAGCAACGCCTCTGCAAAGGGACCCCTTTCCAGATGTGCAGGTCATGTCTGGCTGAATTACCGCATTGGCACCTTGGCTCCAAAAACAACGCGACATCGATTGGGGCTATCCAGCTGCCCTCTCAACCTGCTGAAGCAGCCAGTGGTCGGCATGTCATATAGAGGTAGAGTTTGGGGAGTAGCACAGTGTGCGAGAGGTCGACACTGGACAAATATTTGCGTAAAGCCAGCCAAGAGCAGAAACAGGGCTCGCCTGACCTGGCGTGATCCGGATCCACAGTCCAAAGGCATCTGATCTAAGCTAGCAATATCTCAGCGAGATTGGGTCGACGGGCCATCTCGCCATCTCGCCATCTTGCAAGGCAGCAAGCGGTTGCAACGGGGTGCCACCCGCACGCAGCTATCGGAGCGCCACTGCTTCTAGCCTGGCCACCCAGTAGCTTAACACGGACACCTCGTACTTCACACGGAGCCGATGATTCTCGTAGACTTAGTTTGCAGTAGCAATACCGCCTAGTCTTGCCAAGATAGATTAGCAGTCCATAGCATGTTTGGAGTGACTCCTTTGGTATGTCACCAAGTTAAGCCAGCCGCTGAAGGAAGAGGGTCTGCTTTGAAAACTGAAGGGGTTGGAGATTTTGCCGGCTGTTTTTGTTTTCTTTTTCTTTTGGCAATGGATCATCGTGGCCACAACAGTGCCATTCGTTAGGCTGTGGTGGTGCTCCTTTTTGCCTGCATCTCGTGTTCAGTAGACGAATACTAGGCTCGCACTGTCGTGACATTCATCGCTGCAGACGCCAGGTCGCCTGTATGGGATGATCCTGCTACTAGGCCACGACATGGCAGGAAGTGAACAGCAGCAAACCGCTAGTAGACCGCTGACCGAGGAGCAAGTGTCGGGTTCATTGAGCTGCGGCCGTCGCTAAGTTTAGGACAATGGCCCACCAATTGTAGGTTCTGAAGCCATACTAGCACGATGCATGGTGACCAGACCCCAGTCGAAGGGGGCCAGATTTACCGCAAGAGACCACGCCATACAAAATACTACATGGCGCCAAGGTTCCTGGTAGGCGAATACCACTAGGAGCACCGGTCGAAGGAAAACGCGGTTGCTGAGGACGGCAGAGAGCGCTAACTGGGGGCGAAAAGAGAAGAGAGTGAGAGACAGTGCAGCGAATACAGTACGGAGTAGAATCTGTCGCTTATGATTTAACGTCGCATCGTCTTGAAATTTCCTTCCAGACTGACCGGGAGGCGTTGTCCCTTGTACGGTATCGACACCCTCTAGCATCCTCAACGAATGATTCTCAGGCCACGGCGGGCAGAATGAGATGGCGCCAACATAGGGAGGCCATGGATCCGGGCACACGAGTGGTAGGTATTGCCAGTGATGCAGCAGGAGTATGATGGTTTGTAGTCTATACGCGGGATTAGACACTTTTCCAACGGCTCGACACAGGCAAAGACGGAACCACTCAACTATCCAGGCCAAAGTCTGCTACAGTATCCAGTTACGGCACTGAGAGGCCCGATTCTGGGGACCGCAAATCTGGCATCTCCCCTGCCCCAAAAGCCATCCCAAGTGAGCGCATCGGCGGTCATGGTTGCAGGACTAGCACGGTATGACGAGACGAGCAAAGTGACGAGAGTTCTGGATCGTTTGAGATCCCGCCGGCGGCCGGCGACAATTGCTGCTACCGGTTGCAGTGGTCAGCTGTGATCCTGCATGGAGATGCATGCACGATCCTCCCTGTCGGCTCCTTGGTCTGTCCAGATCTCGCAACAGCCTGATGACGATAGCACTTGTGCTCAAAAGGGTGCCACCGGCAGCGACTGCTGGATTTCGCAATGATCAGGCGTCTCCAGCTCTCCAGCTACAGTACACGCCAATTGCGTGCCGCATCCCTCATCGCGGTGTCTGCAGCATCGTGAGCAGAGCCGGTAATCAGATGCAGTGGCCGATGGTGGATTTGCTAGCAGCACCATGCCCAGCAGCAAAGGCTGACGATGTCGGCAGCCGGGCGTCATCCTGTCGTAAAGGCAGGGCCTCGACCCTTTTCGCGCCGGGCTCGTGATCGTAGATGTCTGATCGCGCCGATGAGACAGGCACATCTCACTGTGCCGCGCGATATGGAGTAGCAAGGTTTAGTTTACTAGTACTTACTGTAGTCCCTGGGCACCGCCTTACTCAGAGTCGGTGGTACCTGTAAGCTCCCGCACCGTCGACTCCAGGCGTCTCCTCAGGCATCTCAGTGCTAAAAAACGCAGTACGGGGCGCGAGTAGGTACTCTGTAGGTTTTGAGTACAACGCCCCGACCGCTTCTGTGCTCGATTCAGTTGACACGGGCTGCCAAGCGTCTACGGCGTGCATCCAACGCCCAACAGCTGTCGCCTATACCCTGCGTACTATCTTTCTCCTTTACACATGCATTGATGTGGAGGAAAGAAGGAGGGGACAAAAGGCTCTTTGGCTTTGCGCATGCATGCAAGCGCGCGATGTCGTTCTCAGCGGAACTGCTGGTGCTCGTTGCCGGAGGAAACTTTCGGGCACAGAGCACGCGTACCGTGTACATCCCGTAGACACACGTGGCGCCATGTGTCTGCGGTGAGGCCGTGCATGAAGGCTGCTGAATGGGGATGAGCAGGTGCGCTCCCCAGAGTGGCTTAGGCTAGAGCCGATGCCTCCTTCCCCGTTGTTGCACCCCTACAAAATCTCTGCTGATCTCGTCTGGAAGCGGGCCAAAAACCCCTGGCGTCTCTTTCCGTTTTTTTTTTTCCCGCTTTATCTCATTTATCTCTGCACCGTTGGTACAGTACGTAAAAGGTTGCAAGTACGGGGCATCTAGCCTCGTGGGCTGCTGCCAAGGGAGGGAGGGACCAGTGGCAGGCAGGTACCTACTACATAGACTCGTATCGCCTACGCATCGTACCTGCTGTGGTCATACTGTACGGTGGCATAGGCCTGGTCCATCATATTTCCTTCTCCATGATTTGATCATTTCATCTCATTTATGCTCCGTCCTGTTCATGCATTATCTCCCCGTTGCCACGACCCATCTTTGCGACTGTTCTCGAAGCGGCTGGCTGGGCCATCGAAGCAGGGCTGGCTGAACCACTGCTGGATACTGGATACTGGATTCTGGATACACCTGCTATGTACGAACGCCAGTGACGGGCAATGGCTGACTGAGGGCGTCCCCATCAGCTGGGCTGCCAGTGTCAGTCGACTTTCTCAGCTCCGCAAACAGGAACCTCCATCAAGAGGCATTCTCTGCCGCGCGAACACTCCATATCGTGGCGTCAAGAAAGGGCGCGAATCGAGATCAGGTCGAGCCAAATCAAACCCGGCGCACACCCTACACTTATGCTGGTCCCGACGACCAAGACTGCGCGCATCGTATCGCATCGTACATATCAGACCTGCCTACGCCCACGCCTCCGAGCTCCCTGCGCAGACGACGGCGCTGTCTGCATCTCAGCCGCCCCTGTCACCGCACTGGCTGGCTGCTTCATTCCAAGCACCGCACGAGGCGTGTGGCTAGCAGGGGAGAGGGTCCACCGCATCTTGGCCTGTCTTCCTTTTTTTCCACGGCTTCCAGCCCTCACTCCCGCCCTTGCCATCGTCATCTTCACCCCTCCCGCCGCTAAAGGAGCAAGGTTCGAATTCGAGGTCGTAGGCTCACCCCCTGGGGCCGGCATCCACGTTATACCCTTCCATGTACATACAGTATCTGACCGCCCAGCACAGTTCGCTAGCTCGGACGCAGAAGCAAGTGCAATCCAGCACCGCGGATTTGCCTGGGTCTTGGTCCCCACCCGCACTCATCTTGCTTGTCCCCAATCTCTCGTCTTGGGGCCGGCCAAGGGCCTCGTTAGGGCATCCTCCCATCTCAGAAGGCTGTCGTTGGACCCCTGCCCATTGGCCACGCTCAGAGGTGTACGGAGTGGGCTCCGTACTGGCTCAGCTTGAGGAGCGCCCATCACCCAATTCTCGACGCCACTACGAGGTCTCTCTACTGCTAGATCTCTCTGCCTGGGGCCCCCGGTCTTGTGCGCGCTGGGAAACAGCAGCTCGGCGACGGGTCTTTATTAGCATCGTCATTTATAGCCTTGTGCTCGCTTCCCTCGCCCTGCCCTCTTCTCTGCCAGTATTTAATCCCAACTCATCGCTGCCGGCCCCCCACGTCTGAGCCCGGCCTGCTTACTCTCTGATAGCTGGACGGTATATGCCTATACCTTGCCTACATATGCGAGTCCGCTGCGATCATCCTCGGCCCCGTTTGCAAGTCGCCAGGCCAGTGGCCACTCCACCGCAGACGCCGAGCTCGACCCAGCGCTTCTTGTGCCCCTAGCATTTGTGCTAAGTCAGATGTATCGACGACCCTGACCTGACTTGCGCCAGATCTTTTGCTTGCCACACACGCTATGGAAGCGGGTGACGTTGGAGCCCGACAGAGGTACGTTCTTACTCGTGCATTCCTCCAGGCCTAGCCGTTTGATCGTACGCCCCCCCTCCTCTGAATCTGTGGAATTATTAACTCACAACTCCCCCTCGTTTCTCTCCAGTATTGGTCCTTCTTCTACTCCTACGCGATTTGAACTTCAGCCATCGCAACCTCCCCATCCACTCCCGCAGCAACGAGAAGCCGTCGACCGACGGTATCAGGACCAGCCTGTCATGGCAGCAGCCTCAGTTCTCGCCCCTAACGCTCACTACCCTTCTCAGTCATATCCATCCAACTACTCTTCTCACCAGCCGTCGTCTGGACCAAGCGTCGCCAACATGATTTCCTCAGAGCCTCGACGACCGTCCCCCGATAACGAGTCCTCGGCTCGCCAGTCGCTGCCGTCGATTTCAGAGGTCATTTCTGGTGCGCGACCCGGGCAGTACCCTCCACCGGCGCATGCTCCTCTCCAGCCCGGCTCGAGCTTGCCTTCACCGTTTGCTTCATCGGCTCGACAGTATCCCGAAGCCGACAAGCACTCTTCTCAACCTCTGCACGCTGCCGCCTACCCTCGACAGGATAGCCACCCCGCGTACTCTGATTCTCCCAGGCCACCATTCAGCAGTGGCCGACCTGGTCTGCCCCCTGTATCTGATCGCCGGGCGACTCCTCCGATGAAGCACGATGCCCACCCTCTGCCGCATCACATGGTTGAACCGCCGAAGCCGTCTGATCGCCATTCAATGAATGGCGTGTACTCTCAGCCGCCGCCACCAACTTCTATTCCGTACCAGACGGGACCGCTCCCGGCAGGACAGCAGCCGCTTCCCCCATATCAGATTTCCCCCAGAGGCCAATGCGGCTTCGCACATCTCAGGTCAATATGACCCTCGGCCGGCGCCCACACACCTTGAAGAGGCCGACTACGGCAGAGCCCGATATGACAACGGATCATCGCGATCATTTGAGAGCTGGAGCTACCAGGAGGCCCTCAGTAGAGTGAGTGACTGTCACGGGAAAAAAAAAAAAAAAAAAAAAAAAAGGGAGCGCAACCACTAATGGACAATTATAGATTGGGACTTGCTCGCGAACGATTTTCAACTTTGCAGAGGCGTATGGACGGATCGCGCAGGAGCAGCATGGATCTCAGCCGATTCCCGAGCGCCTTCCAACTGAGCGGGAGGTGAGCGATATGCTCTCCAACGTCGAATACCTCAAGCGATCTCTCGAACAATGCAGAGAAGTAATCGTAGCATCGCTCCAGAGCGAGAGGGCTCGCGACGGCGCCAAACCAAAGGGCCCGTATGACGACGACCAGGACGTTCAAATGTATGGCGACTCAATGAAGCAGTCATATGGCATGACAGAAGTTAAAAAGCGCCGCGGTGTAAGTTTCGAACCTGGTCATTTGTGGCTGCCACCTGTCCCATGAACCATGCTAACAAGCTACAGCGTGCCGCCCCTCCTGGCCGGTGCCACAGCTGCAATCGGATCGATACCCCAGAATGGAGGCGTGGCCCTGATGGTGCCAGGACGCTTTGCAATGCTTGCGGCCTCCATTACGCCAAACTAGAGCGCAAACGCCAACTCGAAGCAAGATCGCTACGGCCCAAGCCTGAGGAAAGAAGCTGAGGCGGTAGCACCAAGAGGGCTTGACAAGATGCTCCACGCTCTTCACAGCTACCAAAGCCGTTGCGTGATGGTTTTCTGTTTTCTTTTTCTTTGTTTATCTGTATGGCGGAGCCTACGAAGCGGAGAGCATGCTGATGATCCCGAAAAAGACATTCAACATTTTTTATCTTCTTGACAAAACATTTTTTGCAGAACAAAATACCCATTTTCTTGGCGAGGGCCTGCATGGAGAGTTTTTATTGTACATGTGTTTTTGAACACGGGATCTTGGGATTGGGCGGCAAATAATCATGGCATTGCAGGCGTTGAATAATATACACTATAGGGTCTGGGCAACATTCACATTTGATGATGAGATTTTGTCTTGGAGACAATGATGCCAAGTTAGCTTTGGATTTCTTTTCTTTTTCTTTTTCTTTTAGATGACACTTGATTGTATCTCTGTGCTACACTTGCCGCTTTGGCAAGGGCAGAATGAGAAGGAAACTTTTGAAAAAATAATATCCCCATTCAACGTTAATATGAATCATATAAAGGATTGACGAAATGGTCAGCTGCAGTTCCTTCCTGCTTGCCTCTGCATTTGACTACAGCCAATGTAGTTCCCCAACATGGACTGAATTTCTTTTTTTTCCGGTTTCCCTCCCTCAAATCAGGTGCGTCATGGGCAAAGGTATACAAGTAAGCTTTTTATGTAACACGGACGGTAATTGGCCCATCTTGCTTTACTAATGAGATCGGGTCGGGGAAGATACTTTGTCTGATTTAGAACAAAAATTAAGAGAGATCTTGGGGAGGGAGAAAAAAAAAAGAGGGGGTGACGCTGTGTTTCGGGTATAAAGAAGGGTGAGATTAACCGCAGCCCTCCATGTCTGGAAATACCTGTTTTTTTTTTTCTATTTTTGAGGGGTGTGTGGGAACGATAACGGGCGGCATTTCTTTTTTTTTTTCTTTTCTTGTTTCTTAGTGCTGATGCGTAGGAAGATAAGGCTGTGAAGTTACTGTAGGTAGGTAGTCTTTTTTGACAACCGTGGAAACCAGATTGGAATTGAAATCTGAAACGAGATTCTAGTGGGTGATACGATCTAATAGATGGATAGATTGAGACGTTTTGCGATGATGGCGAGAGGGAGAATTGTACGTGTGTGTAAACTAGGCTCTTTTCTTTCTTACAATTATCCAAGATGTAGGATTTCGCGTCCTTGGTCTGGATCCTTACTCCCAGCCATTCTTTTTCTTTTTCTTTCATCTTCTTTCCTTTTTCTTAACTCGGGTGGCGGCCGAAACTCTGGCTTTTCAGCTTCAACGGTCTTCAGCTTCAACGGTCTTCAGCTTCAACGGCCCCCTGCGCTTTTTGTTATGTTTGCTACAGTATGGTGGCGTGATAAAAATCCTTGGCTGTCCTTGTCCTATCTTTCAACTTCAAGAAAATTGGTGCAAAGTATACAGTACGCAGGTATTAATAGTATATTGTGGAAATGAAAAGGAAAGGCGCCTAGGACGATGCAGGAGTCATCACAGAAGTCATCACATGCACATGTTCAATAATGCAACCGACTTGCATGCATCGTAAAGGAGGGGGGCAGCTCATTAACCTGAGAAATACATACAATAGAGACGGGAGAGTTATTTAGCGATGCTTACCTGCTGCTGCTACTATTTTGCCACTCCTATATATGCCTCTCCCTCGCATAGATACTGCATGAAATTCAGGTTGTTTTCTGTCACAAAAATCCTTTAAACCATGCAGGCGATATTATATTCTTACTATACAGCATACAACCGCTCGTGCACTTTTAGCGTGAACCAAAGCAAAAAAAAAAAAGAGAGAGAATAAAAAAAAACACAACCGGGTTGGGCGGGGGGGAGCTGTTGGGCGAATCAACAAGCCCCCCTCCCCCCTTGCTTTTGTGGAATGGACGGCTGAAAAGGTGAGAAGTGACGGATCGGCTGTCGGGTAGCTGCAGCGCCGGATATGCATGGCCCTACGGATGAGGAAATGAGAGAAAATGGGAGATTTGCTAGTAGTGCTGTAGTGGTGAGAAAACAAAAACGGCGAGGAAACAAAAAAAAAAAAAAAAAGAAAGGAAAATTTTATGTGATGTGTGATAGAAAAAAAAAGGGGGGGAGGGAGGGGGAACCAACCACCATTACGAGACGCATAATGATAAGAAAAGAGAGAAAGATGCTGGTACATGCATACATTCATGTTGCAATGTGTGTAACCGAACCATTCTCATGTATCTGTCTCTTTTTTTTTTTTTTTTTTTTTTTGTCTCTGCTTTGTTGTTCTCATTCTCGGTTCTTGGCCTCGTTTTTCTGATTGGGACAAGGCCGTGACATCCCTGCAGCAAAGACCGGGGGCTGTTGGGTTTTTCCTCGACTTACACCAACATCGTCCCATCTCGATGAAGGCTCCAATTTCAGAACCCAACACTCAAAAAAAAACATCCAACAACAGAAGCTATTATTGATACAGTAAACGTTTTTTTTTGTTTTTTAGCGCTCTTTTCTTTGCTCCGCAGCATCATCGTAGCCCGGGGCCGTGCCGTGCCCCGGAATGTCCGATGCGAACAGAAAAACTAAAAAGAGAGCCAACAGATATAAACGCGTGGTTTTCTTTTCTTTTCTTTTCATTTTTTCACATATTCATGAGCACAGAGCAGCCGCTGGCGCACTGCTAGCCGGATCTGGATTGTGCACCGGTGTAGGTACGTTGCCAAACATGGAACCGGTATATCATGACATGGACATGTTCTTTTTTAGTGAGACAACTGTCGAAGTACAAAGGAGGAGTGGTCCCATTTAGAAGCGTAAGAAAAAAAAAAGCAACTTTTTTTTTGCTCTCGCTTCGAACTTCAATTGCTTGGCGCTGCTAAAATATCATGCCATGGCGTTTGCTTTTTTTCCCTTCTTAGCACATACTGTACAGTTTCATAACCGCGTTGGAAAAAAAAGGCCTGTTCTCCAAAAAAAACGAACAAGTCACATCAGCTAAGAGAGCCAACTCGTCACATCTCATCAAAAACAAGGAAAGAAAAAAGACCCATGAATTCAGCCACGCGGCCGGGAAAAAAAAAGAGGACCGGCACAGACCATGCAAGGGTTTTTTCTCTTTACTGGTGATTTTTTCTTTTTGTGAGTGAGAAGTGAGAGCTAAAAAAGATGCATGCAAGATATGCAAGGCGAGCCGGAAATTGGTCCCGAGGATTTTAGTCTAGTATACTTGGAGGATGGGCTTAGTGTAAGTGGGCTGGAAGAAGCCGAGAATGTGAGGAAACAACAACGGCTTTTGGCTTTTGGGGCAACGCAGCTGCAAGCATGCATGCGTGCATGAAACAGGGACAAGCTTGCTCGTCTCTCGCCCTCGGCCTTATATTTTGAGAGCGAGCAGGTATCTCGACTCTCTCCTTTTGTGCAATTCTTGTTCTACGTCCAAGGTGAAAGGAGGGGCGTGTTCTTCCAAGCCTCACCGTCGCACGAGGCTGGAGAGGGTGGCGCGGAAAGATCGGACAGGCGGGGAGCCTGCTGGACTTCATCGGACACAAGGACGCGGAATCTTAGTCTCATGGTGTCTCCCATCGTGGTGTGTGTACAAGTACAGAACGCTTTGTGGCACGCTGGTGCTCGTGCGTTGGCCCTTGCCTTGTCTTGTTCTTGTTCTGTTGATTCCTGTCGTTTACCTCTCTCCATCTTTGGCGGCAGATGCTTTGTGCACACAGACTTGATAACAAGAATGTGTTACGGGCTACACCATATTTGTCTATATATAAAGATTTCCAAAACAACAAGTGACGCTGGACGAGCCGCTGTGGCACGGTGGGATGCATAATGGACAGTTACAGATACACGTACATGGCTTGTGTTGCATGATGGATGGATGGAATGAGGCCAGATATAGAGAGCCAAAGACTGTATCAACAACCTGTTTAACATCTCAAGCCACAAGCTATATAAGCTATAAGCTACATAACCAAAAAGAAAAGGACAGCCAGTAAGAACACAGTCTCGCAAACAGACTACGAGTCTGCAATATTCCATCAACACAAGATTGAAAATCTCAAACATGCCAGCTCAGGTCACACTCTTGTGTGCGTTGGCATGTATAGAGGCTAGCTGCCGTAGCCAAATCTTGGTTCCAACTGATTGAATGTGAGAGGGCAATAGGGCCAAAAAAAAAAAAAAAAAGGGCAAGGCAGCCGGGCTGTGGCGTTAAGCTCGTATTATTTGCCGAGCACAGAGATGCACCGTGAGTAACTGCAAATCGCCAGTCTCTTTTTGTCTTCCTCATGCAACTTTACCTTGCATGCATGATATACCTGCTCTTTCCTCGCCGGATACAGGACTGAAAAAATAAAGACAAAAATAAAACAAAATCTGGGAAAGCATAGACATCCGTTTTTGGTATGCAGTGCGCGAGTACTTTGTACCCGGATGTGATTGTTGCAAACGACACGATCCCCCCTGTCCAAGTGGCTTTTTTTTTTTCTGTGGCGCGTCAGGAAGAGCTGGGGGTGTCTCCCTTGGACCATCAAATACGTGTATATGGATGGGGTTGCAGAGCTGAGCTGAAGTTGTTTAATTTGCTGATATTTATTGTACGATGGAGGTGAAGCATGACTCTCTTGACTCCGCCCGTTGCCGCACGCTCTATACCTCGCAGCCGCAATCCGTGGCGTTGACGGAGATGATGCGTCTGCCGGCATAATTGAGTTCCCATTCCGTGTCTTGCTGGTCTACAGGACATGGCAAAGATGTGCTTGTGCGGCGGTCAAAGCAGGCGCATTGTATTGTCATGCTTGCACCCGAAGCTGTACAGTAAGTAAGCGGCTGTTGCCCCGACTATCTCCCAGCAATCGAATCGACGATGCTTACCGCACGAGGATAGTCAGGGCCGGGGTGCCATCGAGAGCCAAGCAGGGGGTCTCGACGGCTTCGATCGCAGCCGATGGCCAACAAGCAGACGGAGTACTTGTACCCTGCAGCGATCATGGGTACCCGCACGCTTGGCCGTTTCCGCTCACTGTCACAGCAGATGCTGCTCGGCTCGCCTGAGATAGATTGCGACAAGTCAAGAATAGCAGTGCTAGCAGGAATCCGGACGTGACTGATCACCATCCCCTGGGCAGGGTAGCACTGCTAGACGCAAGCTGCAGCAAGCAAGCAAGCAGTTACTAGCAGCATGCTGTAAGATGGAAACCAAGGACAATGTAAAGGCATTTGCAGCAAGACTTGGCATGTGGAAGAAGCATGTATATACACTCCTGCGTACGTACAGGGGGGGAGGGCCCAGAGGACGACTATCACGGACAAACCCCCCTTGTCGACGCTGCGGCTGGCCTCTTGATAGCGACGGCGGTTGCATCACACGCGTTACGCAGGACAGAAAATGGCGCTGACCGTTCAAGTCACAGGCATCTGGATGTCAATTTCCGCCAAGTCCCGGAGAGCGCCGGCCGCTGCCCAAGCCATGGTAACGCTTGGGCATCATGGCATATGCAGCTACGCAGCAGGACTGTGCCACAGCCGCACGACGCCGGCTGGGATGCTTGCTTGGACGGCTCTGCTGAAGTAAAGAGTGGGTAATGAGTGGCCGGCGAGGGATGCGATGTGAGGCAAAACGAGCAAGGCAGTGTTGCGTGGGAGGCTGCCACTGCGTCCCTTGTGCCAGCATCAGTGCCGCCACAGCTCTATACTGTACCAATGCTTGGAGCTGTAGTATATAAGCATATGCACAAGGTGTGTGTGCGCATCAATCATGTGGATGGCCGTTTGATGGCCGCAGCAGCCTCGCTTTGCGCAACTCCAGGAGGGAGTGGGCAGATGCATCGTGCCGGCCTTGAGCGGCAGCAAAGGCCGAGCTGAGAGAGACACACACACGCATATACAGGGGGGGTGAGTCCGTCTTTGATTTTCATCTTCCCTTTGGTCTCGTGAGAGGGCCGGGGGCAGCGGTTTTCCCCTTGGTCGTGTCAGGCCATCTGCTATAGCACTGTCGTAGCGGTATCCTCCTCCATCGTAACTGACACATACTACCGCTACGGCTATCGCTTTTCCCGTATTAGACCCTCCTGGGCCTGAAAGCTAATCTGGGAGTCCAGCTGCTGCTGGGTCTCCCAGGTGATTGGTACACCCCCGTCGTGCTGGGCCCCCTCCTCTATTCCCAGATCATTTTACGATTGGGAACGATCCACTACTCCGCCACTCGCTTCATCGACTATCGAACTGAGCTACTATAGTTCCATCGTGTTAGCAGCTCTCTAGTGACTGGAGCCGTAGATTAGGTACAAAAGCTCTTGAAGAAGCGAGTTACGTGTGAGTGTCGAGGTGGCAGCAGACAGACACAAGAGGAGACGGTAGACAGTATCACGAGGCTATCCATGCCCAGACAAGGCAATGTATCAAAAAAAAAAAAAAAAAAAAAAGGCTCAGGCATCCATGCATCTGCATATTACAAGCATGTACCAGCCCAGGAGTACTTGGTCTAGAACTCGTACTGTCTTCTCTGTCTCCAGGATAGATCGAACCACGCCGTCCAGGCCAATCTCCAACCTTGTCGGCTCGAGGCAATGAGACTTCAACCGTCAAGCCACCCTGAGCACGCCGCAACCAATTATGGCCTCGAGAACCGGGTATGGGATGGCCCTCCTTGTAATTAACCATGTGAGTCCGTTGCCAGCCACGCGGGTCTGGAAAAGTCTCAGCCCCCCCCTCCTCAGCCCTTCGTGGCGGCCCTCTCCACCATCGTGCAGCCGGTGTAGGAAAAAAAAAAGCAAACAGAAGAGGGAAAGGAAGGGACAGAGGATCGTCACCCTTGCTCCGTCTCGGAGAAATTAGGGACTCGTTTGATGCCAAAAAAAAAAGAGAGCATTTGAAAAAAAGAAGAAGAAGAATCTGAGATGTGATATTGATGGTGATGGTGGCTCCATGCTTGAGTGACGGAACTGCAAAAGGGATTGGATATTGTTGGATACTGCTGGATGCTGCTACTTGGCGCCGGATGCGGCTGTCACTGACACGCGCCGGCTCGTGCTCGCGATACACGGCAAGCAAATCGACAAGTTCTCGTATAAAACGGCGGGCAGCGGCTAAACGCAGAGAAGAAGCGGAGCTGGCCACGCATTGTCGTTTGTGTAACCCGGAACTTGGCCGTTTGCTGAGCCGTCCATAGGGCCAGCACATGCTCATGTAGTATCGCATGCTGAATGCTACCGAGTACAAGGGACAGAGCAGAGCACAGAGGGCAGAGGGCAGACGACAGAGGACAGCATCATTCTCTGGTCGTACTCCTATTAGCTACATGCAGTCACTGTTGCTGCTAATACATACACATACTATACACTTAAACCTCTCATGGGCAAAGTCGGATGCAAAAGAAGAGATCAACGCGCTTTCCCTGGGATAGAACCCGATGTTCCATCTGACCCGAAATTGACAGGAATTCGGGACCGGGGGCGTGTGTTTGCAACAATGTCTCAACCCATTTTCCATTGGTTCATGCGGGCGCTTCTGCGATTTGGGGGTGCCATCATCTGAGTCAAACCTGCTCTATTCCACGCCTGCTGGCAAGGGCGTTCACCGATGCTGGGCACATGGGAAGTGAGATCGACTCAGATTACTGGACAGGGGATTCGGAGTTTTGACGACAAGAGAGACATGCTGTGGGCTCGGGCTGCGCTCACAGCTGTCAGGCGTTGATTGCATTTACACGCAAGCAGTACAAGTATACGCCAGAAGCAGCCGAGGCGCAGGTACATGGACCGTATCCACGGCAAACAACCCCAGACAAGATGGAAATTTACTTGTACAGTCTATCTGACAAGGGACAACAGCTAGCCGACACCAACACGGAGCCACCACTTCGCCGATTTCCTCAGCCAGACCCATGGAGCGTCGGCGAGATCAGCCACTGGCTCGGCCTGGGCCACGCCCGAAACAAACCTCTCGGGTTCGATGGGCGCCAACACCTTCAGCCGCACCGTGGACTGGCGGATCTGCCCGGAAACAGACCCAGTTGCGTTGTGCTGACTGTACTCTGCGTATTCGATACCTTGCCGCTATACCTTGGCAGCAGGGCAAAGGGTTCCCTGGCATTGCTACCTATGTTTAGCATCTCGGTCACCACTGCTTGCACATTTTGCGCCCTCATTCCTTTTTCCTGGCTCCCCCTTTGACAGCAACAGCAACACCAACACCAACCAGCACGTGGCCCCCGCTGCCTCTCCCTTGAGCCGGTGACGTCTTTTGGCCCCGGCCGTGCGGCTGAAGCGATCCAAGACATGGCGCTTGAGCCAAAATGAGCAGCCGGAAAGATTTCTCCGCTCGGGCATCATTTCACAAAGGCAAGGGAGACAAGGAGGGGCCGCCTGCGTCGAATCCAGCTCCAGAATTATACCAGAGAGAAGCAATCGGAGCAATCATGGTGCTACTGTAGCAATAGCATGCATCCATGGTATTCAGTGGTGCTACTATACCACTACGACACTCCTCGTGAAAACACTCATCCACGGCATCGTCGACACGCCGGATAGGCTCACGCCGTCTTGATACACACACGACGCACACCTTTCCCCTCTCAGCGAATGCCTTCTCCACCAATAGACGACCGCAGATCGCCCCTAAACCTACAGTGCGCCAGATCAGATCAAGATCAGGATCAGGATCAGGAGCCTTCTGCTGCTGCCGTGAGATCTCTCCCGGCGGCCATCTTCTCACCCCCCCTTCCTGCTTTCCCGATCTCGACCATCAGAGCAAGATTGCGTTTCGATGTGAGATCTGGTGGGTTTTTTCCACTTGTCTTGTTGCTCGATATACCGGAGTTGAGTTGGTTCCCTTTGGTGACAAGATGACTGCGCCCACCGGCTGCTCACCACCCCCCTTTGAAATTTGGCTCTTCACCTGGCCCTTTCCCATGCCTTTACCCTGTCTGTCCGGCTGAGTATTGTACTCCGCCTTTTGCGTGATGTGGAGCTGCGCTGTCCTGGACAAACGCAACTCCATCCACTCAATCTCAGCCCGCGCCGCATCTAGCAGCAAACTCACGTCC